AGAAAGAAAGAAAGAAAGAAAGAAAGAAAGAAAGAAAGAAAGAAAGAAAGAAAGGAAGAAAGGAAGGAAGGAAGGAAGGGAAAGAAAAGAAAGAGAAAGAGAGGGAGGGAGGGAGAAAAGGAAGAAGAAGAAGAAGAAAGAGAGAGAGAGAGAGAGAGAGAGAGAGAGAGAGAGAGAGAGAAACACATGGCTCATTTGTGAAATACTAAATGGAATTTTCCACAGCAGGAAAAAATGAAAACTGAGGGAAGACAGTCCACCCATCAAAAACCTGGGCTTTTAAAATTAAGGACAATTGGGGTAATTTTAAAAACAAACTAAAGCCAGAGTTGACTAACCACCAGGAAAAGCATGGTCTTTGGAGAGCAGGGGCACATTGCTTTCATGTAAATCTGCATCATGCATGAGCACATCCTCAGGGGAAGGCAGAGTGACAGCCACCTCAATGAGACAGATGAGCTTCCCCAACGTGAACACCAGTGCTATCCTGTTCGCCAAGAAAGCCTCGACTTGGGCTGCAGTCCTCCCGTGACCAGACCCCATAATATACAATGTGTGGACCATAAGTGCACACTCCCCTTTCCGTTCACTCAGATGGCCTGCTACAGGTGTAACAGCTGGGGGCCTGTCATAGCAGCCTGATTAGGCTTGTCCTAAGCAAATCCAGGAAACGCAGGGATCCATGACCTCCATTACAGGGCCCAGAGAGAGTCAAATAATGACCTCCAGAATGAACTCATAAGGATGTCCAGCAAGTCCTCCAAACTCAGATCTCTGAGATGGGCTTCAGAATATCAGTCTTTGGTGTCTGTTGTGCTATAGATGTGGTTTGCTTCCCTGGAGTTTCTTGTGTTGGAATATGGTCTCCAATGTGGCACTGCTGCTTACTGGGGGCTTTAAGAAGTAGGAAATGTACTGTAGGAAAGTACATTCCAATGGATGGCCTCATACCCGGGAGTATACGGGCAACACAAATTGGACTCCGTGGATTGTTTTTAAAAAGATACCATGAAGTTGGGAACACATAGGGAGGTAGGTTTAGATCAGGGAGGAGTAGAAAGGTGAAAATGATCAAAATACATTGTATGAAATTCTCAAAGAACTAATAAAACGTTATATATTTTTAAAAAGAAGTGAGATGTATTTGAGGTTGAAAGGTCATTGGAGGCGTTGTCCTCTGGAGGGGCTAATTCTGGTCTTATGGAATGGTTTATTTACTACTCGAAGGAGTCATCATAGAACGAATAAGATCGGCTCCTTCTCTTAAAAGCTTCTGTAACTCTGATAAAATACCCTGACTAAAAGCAACTTGGGGAGAAAGGGGTTTAGTTCATCTGAATAACTCTCAGGACACTCTCCATCACTGAGGGAAGTCAGGGCAGGATTCTGGAGGCAGGAACTGAAGCAGAGGCCACAGAGCGCTGCTTGTGGGATTGCTCCAGGCTTGCTCATCCTGTTTTTTAATACCACCCAGGACCACCTACCTGCACACGGGTGGCATTGCCCACGGGTGGCATTGCCCACGGGTGGCATTGCCCACAATGGGCTGGGCCCTGACACGTCAATCATCAACCAAGAAAATGCCCCACAGGCTTGTCCACAGGCTAATTTGATGGAGGCAGTTTCTTCAATTGAGGTTTCTCTTCCCAGGTGACTCTAACTTGTGTCAAGTTGACAAAAGAAATGGCCAGGAGCCCCTCCCCTTGCTTTCTGGGTCATGGTCTTGCCATGCGATGTCTACTTCTGGTGCCCTCTCACCATGTTGGCATGGCCATGTGCTGATACACCCAAGAGAGCTCTCCCTGCAGGGGAACAAATGAGGCTGCCTGACTTTGGATTTTCTCCTCCAAAACTGTGAGCTGAATAATGCTTTTTATTTTCAAAAGTACCCAGCCTTAGCTATTTTTGTCTTAGCAATTAAAAGTGACCATAAGACAGTTCTTAAAGGTTTTAGATTGTACCAAGATCCACAAGATGTGGGCCATAGGACTTCTCAAAAGGTTTATTATACAGCTACACAAGAGATGTCTCCAGCAGTAAGGTGCAATGGAATCCCCCAATTCTTTTGTCACAACGTTAGATCTCTAAGACATGTCTCCACAAGATGGAATCTCATACAACAAATTTTGGAAAACACTGTCTTAGAGTCACTTCTAGGTCATACTGGGAGCCATCACACAAGAAGAAACGTCACAGGGACAGAGCCCACAGGACACAACTTGAGAGTACCCAGAAACCTGGGGTCTTCCCATGCCTGTTTGTTTGTTTGTTTATTGATGGTTGACTCATTTTCTAGATGCTTTGCAGTAAGACTGCAGGAGAAGACTCACACACAGATGGACACTGGAGAATCTATGAGCCAGAATCTGAGAGCAGGAGAGAGGCGTCCACATGAGAGGAAGCTTGGGCAGAAGTTGCTGGGGAAAGAGCCAGATGAGAGTGGTAGGTGACAACTCTGGGGCCTGCTGAGAGAGATTGGGGCCTGGCAACAGGCCACCCACACGATGCCACCTGAAGAGCAGACATCTTCAAATTTCCTCAGGAGGTCTCCTCTTGCTGCCTCCAGGAAAGTTATACTAGGCATCCACCCCGAGTCACTGCTGAGTTCAAAATCTCTATTTCATAGGGTTTTAAAAAAGCCCTTTTGAATGTCAAGCACCTTGTGAA